GTAAGATTTCCCCATTGTGGGACTATTAAAGGAATATCTTATCTTATCTTATCTTATCTTATCTTATTTTAAAACATCATGAACATATGGCAGTAGTGAAAATAATAATTAAAATATTAATAATACTGAAAGGACCAAAATAAATGAATAATTAAATAAATGTACATAGCAAAAAATTAAATAAATTTATTTTAAAGATTAAAAATAAAAAAATAAATAAATAAATAAATAAATCAAATCAAATCTTAATGTAGGTTTAGGTTACAGCGTACATTCCCACAACAAATCAGACATTTTTCAATATCTTATTCTCCCACTGCCTCCTCCATATCTCCACCCCTTAACAGTTCCAGAAATATCTTCCAAAATCTTCCCCTCTTTCTGACAATATAGGTCAGTTTCTCAAGAGCCAAACTCGATGTTAAGTTATTTAACCAGTGGTTAAAAGACGGACACCCAACATTCTTCCAACATAATGCTATACAGCGTTTGGCCTGTAGTAAACAAAGGTCAACCGTTTTTCTTTCCTTACAAGATAAAGTACAGTCATCTGGATAAATGCCTAAAATACATAACTTAGGGCAACTTCCTTTGTTTGTTTTAACATGCTATTTATGTTTGTTTTCCTTGTGTGTGTTGATGTTTAGTTTATTTGTTGTTTGGAGAAGCAACCGTTCTTGAATCTGCCCTGTATCAAAAAGGTAAATAAAGTTTTACTTACTTACTTACTTATTCTAAATTATATGAATGATAAGAATACCAGGAATTAATTAAAAAATAGAATAAGAGTAAAAAAAATCTTCTTTTTTTTACCTTACCAGTTTGGTCAGATTGTAGGTGTGCCTTTTCTAAATTGTCAACACACGTTAAAGCTGTTTGTATAATATGTTTTTAAAATGAAATGATTTTATTGTAAGGTTGTAATGGGATTTTTTATTTATATTCACAAACATCTCTTTTTTCTGATTACTGCAAGGCTTTACATATATTATGTATTCCCTTAAAGTATTTGTATATATACATACATGTTATAATTTCATTGAAAAAAAGTTAATATTAGTAAGTATAACATTTATATTTTTTTAAATAAAATTACAACATGTATTGTATATATACAAATACTTGTAGATAATACATAATTTATGTAAAGCCTTCTGAATCTGGACCAAGACTGTAAAGGTAAAAAAAGTAAGAAGAATTTTTTCATTCTTATTCTAATTTTTTAATGTATTCCTGGTATTCTTATCATTATGATTATTTAGAATAAGTGTGTGGATACGTAAAATGTTTTTGGTCAAACAGTTTAAAAAAGTGTGGCAGGTAGTTTAACGCTAGATGTTGAGTTGGTCCTGGTGCTGCAAGTTGGTCCTAACATTTTCTAACTCGACCTCTTGATTTTTATTTTCTATCAATTAACGCTGTTTTATTTGATTTATTTTGAATGTAAAAATATATGTATCTGGACAATTGTATACACTTTTTCCTTCCTTCATAAACTTATATTTTATATTTATATACATACATTTCTATTCTATATATATTATGTTAGATATTCTGATATAAGGATTATTTCTATTCTTTAAGATTGTGTGCGCACCTTGAACAACTGTAACAAACAAATTTAACAATCAATAAAGTATTTCTGATTCTGATAATTCAGTAAGCAGACACTGATGTAATAATAAGATAAGATAAGATAGACTTTATTGATCCCACACTGGGGAAATGCATGCTACAGCAGCTCCAGATACAACACAAGAGATAAGAAAATACACATGAAATAAACATAAGAATAGAAAAAACAAGATATAATGATAATAGAATAAGAGAATAAGAGTTGTGTGTACACTTTATACAGCTTTAAAAAAAAAAACAGATGTGATTGATATGGAATATTTCACAGGTTACAGCAGGTTAATGTAGTTTATCGCAATTTAGAATATCTACGTCTGATATTAACAATAAAATGTGAATCAGAGCTTGTGAGTACACTGTGTTCAGCATTGATCTTTACATTTTGTGAGTAATAATATAAAATCAGATACATGTGGCATGTTTAGTGAACAAATACCAGCAGGGGGCAGTGCTTACTTAAAGGAAAATTTGTATCTGCAAATGGTTGCTCCAAAAAAAAATCATGTTTTCTTTTTCACAATATTAAATAAATTAAATTGAGTCATGTACATTTATAACAGAATGCCAAGGTAGTATATCATGACAGAATAAGATAATTTTTTTCCTAGTGATTTGTAATCAGAAATTAATTGGAATAAAAGCATCTGATTTCAATGCTTATGAATAACTCATCCTGGTGTATGTTTAATGAGACCATATCTTATTTATCTATATATCATATCTTACATAATTTGGTAACAGGGCTTCAGCTAATAACAGCGTGATCAAAGTCATATGTTTAGTCAAAACCTGTTTTAAAATAACCTGTATAACCTGTAAGAATAACATGTTTAACAGTATTCATGGAAGGTAGGATCAAAAATCATAAACAAATACAATTAAATAATAAAACATAAAGGCATATTGCAAAGTTTTTTTAAAATAAAATTACAACACGTATTGTATATATACAAATACTTTTAGATAATACATAATATATGTAAAGCCTTGCAGGAAAATTTCAAATTACAACCTTGCAATAAAATCATTTTATTTTAAAAACATATAATACAAACAGCTTTAACGTGTGTTGACAATGCAGAAAAGGCACAGCTACAATCTGACCAAACTGATAAGGTAAAACAACAACTGTAAATTACTCTTATTCTATTTTTAATTCATTTCTGGGTATCCTTATCATTCATGTCATTTAGAATAAGTGTGACGGAAGGTGTTATAATTGTGAATTGACCACAACTTTTTTACGTATCCCATCATATTTAATCAAAGCTATGCATATATTATTATATTTAAATCAAAATGTTGTTAAGACGTCTACCTTTCTGCTGTATCATAATAAACCCTCATATCATTAAGAATAAGTGACCACATGGCCTTTTGTTTGTGAGTAAAACCACAAGTCCAAATAAAAGGGAAACAAAACTAACACAAGGAAGGTGCTTCAACATATTTATATTTATATTTATATGTGTGTGTGTATGTATGTATGTATGTGTATGTGGTGAAATGGGTTTTGTATGTGGTGTGTGTTGTTTAAATGTATGTTGTGGGTGTTGTATGTTCATGGTTGTTGTGGTGTGTTGTATGTGTGTTTTGTATGTATTGTGTTTTTGGGTGGTTTGTAATGCTATATGTATGTAGTGTTGGTTGTGTGTTGTAATGTATGTTTTGGTTATATGTTATGTGTTTGTGGTTATGTAATGTATGTTTAATGTGTTAAATGTATGTTTTGGGTTGTGTATATTATGTTGTTGGTGTTGTGGTTTGTTTTGTGTGTATGTTATTTAAATGTATGTATGTTGGGTGTGGTTATGTATGTATGTTGTACTATGGTATGTGGTGTGTATGTATGTATGGTATGGTTGTATGTGTGTATGTTAATGTAATGTTGTTTTTGTTGTGTGTTATGTTATTGTGTGTGTGTTTTATGTTCAATGTGTTGTGGGTGGTGTGTATGTTGTTGTATGTTTATGTTAATGTGGGTGTGTTTGTGTAATGTATATGGTAATGGTTGTGGGGTGCGGTGTTTAATGTGTGGTAATGTTAATGTGTAGTAATTGTATGGTTGTGGTGTTGGTATGTAATGTTTTATGTTGTTATAATGTATGTGTTGTGTATGTATGTATGTTTTATCGTGCTGTATGTGTTTTGGTGTTGTATATATGTGGTGGTTGTTTGGTTGGTGTGAGTTATGTTTATGTATTGTATGGTGTTGTGGTAATGAATGTATGTGTATAATGTCATGTTGGTTGTGGTTTAATGTAATGTATGTAATTGGTAACTGTATGTTTGTGTGTGGTTAATTATGTGTTTAATGTGTTGTGTGTTGGGTGTTATATGGTGTTTGGTTTTGTTGTTTTGTATGTGTGTGTTGTATATATGTGGGTTGGTTGTGTGGGTGGTGTATGTAATGTTATGTATTGTATGTTGTTGTGTGTTATATATGTGGTGGGTGTGGTAATTGTATGTAATGTATTGTATATTGTATGTGTTTGGGTTATAATAATGTGTTGGGTGTGTTAAAGTTAATGTGTGTGGGTTGGGTTATGTAATGTATTGTATGTATTGTGTACTGTTTATGTATGTGTGGGGGTGTTGGTATGTATGTTGTTGTGTATTGATTATTGAAGTTTGGTGTAATGTTTATGGTTTAGTGGTGTGTGTTTATGTATTATATGTGGTGTGTGTGGTCTGTGTATATGAGTGTATGTATGTATGTG